TTTCCTGATGTGTTGCAAAAGTGTGAATAAATATTTTACTACACCTATGTACTTTAATTAGAGGGAATAAAACCGCCACTAACTACTAACCTTTAAAATTGAGTATAAGTTGTGGAATATAGATGTTAAATTGTTTGAACAATTCTCATGTATCATGAATATAGAAAGAAAGAAAGGGAGTTAAGGCAACAATATGACACAACTGAGGAATGCATGTGTTCAGGTTCAAGAAATAACTTTGGAGGTAGTGAAGAAAGGGGATGACCCAATGGCATGGAGTAGCTCACCGCGACCGGGTCACGTCGCTGACAAGCCCTTGTTAATCCTGATGTAGACACTCATTACCGAGGATCGTGGTAGGCTCATTCCTGAAGGTTGAATATCGAATCGACAAAGATAATGTGCTTACGATAGTAAAGAATGAGGACCTTCGACCTTCTTGACTGGAGGAATGATGGAAATTGAAGGAAGTATAGATTGCGAGTGGCATGCACCATATCTCATAGTCTCATTGAAATTCTTATGAGCACACTACATATTCTAATAGTGTTTTAATTTGGTGTTGTTTCTTTGATGAAACGAAGTTCTTCTTTAATTGGTCTTTCTATGTTCAATTGTGAATATTGTGTGAATCATTCTTATTGTTTGGGACTAACCCTTTTGTTTGGTCCTTCTTTCTTTCTTGTTTGTTTGTTTCATGCATTTCTAGATGAGCACTGATCGGGCAAAGATCTGGATATTGGACAGTGACGAGGAAATGTTGCTCTACGATCCCCAGACATATCATCGCATATTCAAAGGACTAGTGACGCCCTATTGGAATGATAGCCTCCTTGCTGAGATTTATATGCCACTACGAGAGGCTGAGACTCATTTACCCTTTTCTATTCCTCCTTCATCTTCCCTGCCGCCTTTTGTACATACACAACTTCCAAACCCTCCTAAAGACCCTAGAAAAAGGAAGGCTCCTATGGATTCTTAAGGGGGTGTGGAAGATGGGGGGTAGAAATACTTTAAGAAAGATAGGGTAGTGGTGACACCATAATGGAAATTCTAACCACCTAAACAATAACAAAGTAAACAAAGTTAATATAAAAACATTAAATTATATATAATAATTTATAAAACTACAAAAGTAGTAAAGTTGCATACCTAGCACCATATGGAAGACCATGTCACAAATGTGGAGGATTGAGAGGGGCCAAATATGGGAACCTATCCCACGCCTGCATAACCAGCAATGGAGTCAAACCACTAATGGCAACTTTGTCAATGTTTGTCATGCATAACTCTTTATATAAGAAACTAAGACTGCTAGAGTGATCTGCTAGCATAAATCCTCCAATCAGTCTCATAATATACCTCTAGCAAATCTCATCAGTTGAACCTTGTTCTAATTATGCATAGCAATGTCAGTGAAATGTTGGTCTAACCAACTAAGCTTCAAGCTACTCCCACAAAAGCCTCTGGTACTGGCTTAACACCTAATCTGTCATCAACTATCTGTAGCCAATTACTTTCAGTAACTGCAAATGCTAGAAGCCCATCAACCTGAAGACCTAGTTGTATGGCTATATCTTGAAGCATTATGGTGCACTCACCTGGCGGCATATGAAATGTGTGAGTCTCAGACTTATTTTAATCAATGCGATGATCAAATGCCTATCCAATAGAAAGTTGGCAAGTTGTGCCACTCCAGCAAAGCTAGCCAACTCCAAATGTAGTATTATAAATTGGAACACCATCTAGGCTAGCTAGTATAAATTGACACTTCTTAACCTTTATCATGGGATGCTCACGACCATCTCAAATGTATTTAGACACATGTATAAAAATGCAATAATGATGGATCCTCTGAACCTAGATTAATTACTAGACTTTGTGAAGAAGATGAAGCCATCTAAAAATTAAAAATAAAATTTTAGTATTATTAACATATTAAGCATGACAATAAATCGATAAAATTAATATTAAAATGATTTAAATACACTGTTACAAATTTAGTCAATCAAGTTATATAATTATTGTAAATATGCATAATAAAAAATAATATTACAATTACATATTCATACCCAATATTACTTTAATTTCATATTTCTACAAATTATAAACCTCTAAACATTACAAAACTAGTTACAACAATTTAGCATTTTTGTTCAAGTCTGCATAATAAGCTTCGTATTCATAAATTGTAAAGATAATAATTATTTTTATTATTTGTTATACTTTTAATATTATGTAACAGATATTTAAAACTTATTATATATTTAGTTTATATATATATATATATATATATATATATATATATGCCTGATACATTAATTTACTACATGTAATAATATTTTTGTTTCATTTGATAATAATACAATTGTATAATTTTCACCACAATATTCATATTAAAAAGTTTATTTATTTAATAACATATCATTTTTATTAGAGTCATACTAGTTTAATATTTGGTTATGACAATATATTTATTAACGTACATAAATAATTTTTTTCAATATTTCTATTAATTCTTCTATTTTTAATATACTATAATTTAATTAATCTAACTTACTCACATTCTTGCTTTATTATATTTTTTTATTTAATGTGATATTATAAAGTTATTTCACAACTTTTATTTATATTAATATATTTTACTATAACATTTTATAAATTAATTTGACTATATATTATTATATTATAGAGGTCAAGTTGTTCAAAATTTATTAAAAAAGACATATAACTATAATTTCACGTAATTACATTTTTTTTTAACAAATGTTACCGATGCAAATTTTATTTTACTCTACAAGAACCTAAAAATTGAAAATTAATTTAAAGTAATATCAATATATTTTTAATAATTTTTGTTTTTATCTATCTTTTAATAAATTATTTAAGTAATTATTATTTTTAATGATATTACAATCTTATTATTTCAATTGAATTATATATATTTAATTTTAATTATAATTTAAATTCTCTCTCCATATCAAATTAAGAATGAATGAATTTATAAATTTTATCATTTAAAATTCTATAATTTCTAATTTACTGGTAACAAATTTTAAATTACTAGTTACTATTTTTAAAATTTGTTTGCCTAAAATTTTGTTTTAGTCTACTCAAAATTATTCTACATTTTAAAGTTCTTTTTAATTATTTTTTTTACCTTTAATTCACCCTCCTAATTAATCTTAACAATAATAAGGTTTATTAGAAATTTTAATCAATATTTCAGGTTTTATTATACAATTATATTTTTTTAAATTTAAGTAATTATCCAATTTTTATCTATTGCAACTTAATATATTATTATCCTGTAATTATACACTTTTGTAATTTTAATTTACTATTTTATAAATTAATTAAACCAAAAATAAATTTTATTAACAATTACAAAAAAAAATTCATCTTTTTTTATTGACATTACCGAAAATTTTACAAAAAATTTACTACTTTTTTAATTGTTGTTGCACTTAAACCTAAACATACTAACAATTTTTTTTAATTTAATGCTAAACTTTCAGATTACATATAACAACAATTAATTAAATTCTAAATCTACTTTTTTTAAAAATAATTTAAATATTACAATTTCAACCTTTTTTACATAAAATTATGGACAAAATATAAAAACAATAAAATAAATCATAATATATATAATATACATATATATATATATATATATAATATCCTTTCTTCACTAACATCTATTACCGATGAGAATGAGCTTTCACTTTATCACCTCATTGGCACTTATAACATTTTAAAACAAAATAAAAATGTTAATTTTTTCCAAAAATAAAACAAACAAAACTTATTTATTTCATAATTTTATTTTTACTTTTAAATTTCTCTCACAATAACACTGCAAAGTCAAAAATTTATTGAGAGAAATTTTATAGAAATAATACACAAAATTCTTTTCACTGGTATTAATGGAGGAAGCGAAAGAGGAGATGAAGAAGGGCATTTAAGGTGCCCGTTTCGATGAAGCCACATGTCAAGATCTGATATAATATCACCGCATATCTTTCAAAAGACCTGTCAGTATGTCAGAATCGATACTGTCTACGATTTAAACACGATATGTTTTTTTTCCTAGTCATTTATCTCAAAATACTATCATTACTAGGATAATACAACTAAACATATGACACGTGGCAATTATCGCCTTTATTAGGCTGATACTCATTAAATTATTTATTTATTTTTGCTCTTTTATTTTATGCGTCGAATTTTTAGGTTCCATGTGTTAACTTCTAAATAAGCATTGATTGATGAGAAATAAGAGTTTATTAAAAAATTAATAAAAATATTCTATCGGATATGTAGGTGCGATACTAGTGTTAACCTAGCCAAAAAATGCACCAGATAGAAAATTAATTTTAAAATATTCCTATTATAAGAATTTGTTTTAAAAATTGCATTATTTAAATAAATTTGTCTAGAACTTATATGTAGATATTTAATGATACAATTAAATGAAATGAAATAATAATATAAAAATTACTTTAAAAATATATTGTATAATTTTTTTATAAAATAAAAAATGGCTTTATCCTATACTTTTAAGTAAAAAAAGTTAATAAAATAAAATAAAATATTAACTACAAACTACGTGAATTAATTCATAAATATTATTTTAGTTTATAATTTCGAGTCTGAGTGAGTAAAACTGTGTTAAATACTTAATTGCCTCAAGTGAATGATACATGCAATTTTTTAAAAAATATATTGTCTTTTTAATTTTTCTCCATTTTATTATATGTTATCTTATCTTCTTATAAATAAGTAAAATAATAAGAATAATTAATTTTATATTTATTCATCAGATAAAATTTATGTACAATATTATAAATATAATTGTTATATAAATTATTAAGATAAAATACTAATTTAATTAAAAAATAATCCTAAAAATATAAATATTTTGTTTCCAGTCATTTCACATTTTGGTTTCGATTATAGTCTATCAAAGTCAATAGCTAAAAAACCAGGCCTGCAATTTAAAACCCCGGCCCATAAACCCACACAAACTCTTCGTGCTCTGGTAGTTCCCCTCCGATGGTTTCCGCCACCGCGAGCGACACTGGAAACAGATCAATGAACTGAACTGAACTGAACTGAACTGAACCGAACCGAACAGCACTTCCGCCATCTTCCAATCACACAGAAACCCTAACCATGTCCATATCCATGTCACTGTCCTCAGTCCCTGCTCGTCTCACACTCCTCGCCCTCTTCTCCGCCACCACCTTCTATTGCATCTACAAATCTCGCCGCCTACGACACCTCAAATTCTCGCTCTACCCTAACACTAACACTAAACCTAACCCTAAACCGAAAATCCTTTTTCTCTCCGAAACCGGCACCTCCAAAGCCCTTGCTTGTCGCCTCCACCGTCTCCTCGCTTCAAACGACATCGCATTTGACCTCGTCGATTCGCAACACTACGAGCCCGAAGACCTCCCAAAAGAAACGCTCCTTCTCCTCATCGCTTCCACGTGGCAAGACGGAAAGCCTCCTTCGGCTTCTCGATTCTTCGTCACGTGGCTCGCCGACAGCGCCAACGACTTCCGAGCCGGCTCTTTGCTCCTCTCGCGCTGCAAGTTCGCCGTCTTCGGCGTCGGAAGCCGAGCCTATGGCGACTCATTCAACACCGTCGCCAGGGTTCTCGCGAAGCATATGAGGGCGCTTGGCGCCGCGGAGGTGCTTCCTCTGTGGGAAGGAGACGTTGACGGCGCTGACGTGGATGCCGTTTTTGATCTGTGGTGTGAGAAGGTGGTTGGGGTTTTGAAAGGTGGTGCTGTGGATAACGGCGGTGACGATGCCGGAGAATGTGGCGTTTCGAGTTCCGAAGAGGATTCTGATGTGGAGAGTGAGGTGGAATCGGAGATTGTTGATCTTGAGGACATTGCTGGTAAAGCTCCTTCGAGGAAGTCGGTGGCTACGGGTGAGGAAACTAATGGGAAATTGAATGGAACAAGAGAAATGGTGACTCCGGTGATTCGTGCGAATTTAGAGAAGCAGGTATTGTATAGTGTCACACGTTTCAATTTCTGTAATTCGTGTATGGTTTGCTTGTAAAAATGAGCTATTCCCTTTCATATAGGTTCTAGTTCTAAATTGGCTTTCTTCACGTGTTGCCAATTTGCAGGGATATAAAATTATTGGTTCACATAGTGGTGTCAAGATTTGTAGATGGACCAAATCGCAGCTTCGAGGTCGGGGTGGTTGCTACAAGCATTCGTTCTATGGAATAGAGAGTCACAGGTAATGGCAACAGGGCATGCTGTTTATTTATGTTCCAATTGTGGTTATGTTTTGTGCACAACTTATAAATTACCTTTTAGTTGGAGACTCTAGATGGTTGAATTCATTGCCTTATTTGTGCCCACTGAAGCTAGAGTGGAGCTTATTAGTTATCACCATATGTTTCAATGATGGGGTGAAACTCTCTTACTGATGGTGGGTCTAAATGATTATTACTTTTTAGAAAAAATAATAAATGGGTCAGGAAGAGAAAAGAAACAGGCTGTATGTTTATTTTAAGATACTCTGGGGCTTGGGCTGCTTTCTCATGGTATGGCTTCGGAAGAGTGTGATGGATATATAATTGCCAGTCCACATTATCTAAAGTTTGGTCATCCATACTGTAGGTGGGTTTATCCTGGCCATGGATTTTGTGATGTTTTTTTGTGCTTGTCAAAAAGTGGATTTATCATTTGTTTTATATATGTCAGCTCATATTTCAGCTGCCAATTTCACTGTGTCCATATTTTTGAGTTAAACAGGTGCATGGAGGCAACCCCTAGCTTGGCATGTGCAAATAAATGTGTTTTCTGTTGGAGGCATCACACAAATCCAGTAGGGAAAAGTTGGCAGTGGAAGATTGACGATCCAATAGAGATTGTAAATTCTGCAATAGACCTGCATACAAATATGATTAAACAAATGAAAGGAGTTCCTGGTAAATTTTTCGTTACTATGCTGTGGTCATTTTGATGTATGAGGCTATTGTTCAATTGATGGACCTACATTGGTCAATAATGAAGCAGCTAAAGTAGCTCTTGGTCACTGTGTTCTCATTGAAAGTATTGGGCATACTAAGGCTGTGTTAGAGTGAAGGAGTGTAGAGGGAAGAGAAGGAAGGGTCAGGGACTATTTGGTTTTGGAAATTGTTTTGTATTTGCATTTTGTGTTTCTTTTTCACTTTTGATTACAAAACTGTCACTTGCTTACATTCTAATTCCTACTTTTAATTTGTACTAGAAACAGTAAAAGCAAGAAAATTTGTTTTCACCTTTTCCTGTATAAATCTTTAAAAACAAGAAACAAAATGAAAACAAGGTGTCATTTTTTGTAATTAAAAGTGAAAACAAAAATGAAAATAGTTTTTTTCTGAAACTAAACAGCTCCTAAAGTTGTAATTTTAAGTAAATATTCTCTTGAGATTTTTTTTTTTTTATAAAAAGAGAGATTATCATGTAACCTTCCAATCATCCTTTATGAACACTTTATAACTCTTACACTTCAAAAATGAAAAAAATAATCATACCTTCAAATCCCTCCACTTAAACATGACCAGAAGAAAAACTTCAATTTTGATCTCATTGAAAAACTTACAGTTTTGATGTTTTATTTAGTGATTGTATTGTTATGTGAACACTATTCAATTGGATAGTGCATCCATACTGCCATGCTGTATGTAATTTTACAAATAAAAAAGAAAATGAAAAAATGGGCGCAAGTACTTATACATGGAAGATTAGCTTCATAACAATCCCATCCTTTTGCATGTTATTGTGTAATTAATTCCAAAATTGACTCCTTTAATTCTTTCTGTAGGAGTTACCTTGGAGCGATTAACTGAAGGTCTCTCACCACGGCATTGTGCATTATCCCTTGTTGGTGAACCAATTATGTATCCAGAGATAAATTCACTTGTGGATGAACTGCACAAAAGGAGGATTTCTACTTTTTTAGTCACAAATGCGCAATTTCCAGAGAAAATTCAGTTGCTGAAGCCTGTTACTCAGGTTTTGTGGCTTCCAATGTTTCAAAATCAAACACATGTTGGCTATTCTCATGCAAGCCAAACTTAATATTCTTGTTTCCATCCTGCAGTTATATGTCAGTGTAGATGCTGCAACAAAGGATTCTTTGAAGGCAATTGATAGACCACTCTTTGGAGATTTCTGGGAGCGATTCATTGTAAGTATTTTTCCATTCTGAGTGAAAATTTAGAAGTATCCTGTCTTAGTATATAAGTATAATAAGATTGAGTTTTAGGACCCGTTTGGTGAACATGATAGGAAAGGATATGATAAAGAGATGGATAAAAATAGGATATGATAAGAGAGAGAAACTCTTATCGTATCCTATTTTTTATGTACACTTGGATAGTAAAACAAATAATATTATGTAATTCTTTTTAATGTTTGAAATAAAAAAATAATAGAATAAAATAAAAATTATATTTGAATGACAATATTGCTTTTATCAAAATTGATATAATTTTTTTAAAATAATTTTTATTTCAACTTTTTATTTTCAATATTTTACAATTAAAATTTATTTAAGGTAAGAAATTATAATTAGAAAAAGAAATTATAAAAAATTTAAATTTTATTTTATAAAATGATTCAAATAATTTTTTACAAATGTTTTTTTAATATATTTTTATTAAAAAATTTAAATATGTATTTTTTTGAAATGTTCATACAATTTTTTTTATAATAAATATTCAAATTATATTTTTAAAATAATTATTTTTTATAAAGTATATTAAAAGAGATATAAAGTATGAGAAAAAATATAATAGAAGAAAAGTTATCCTATTCTGATGCTTTCTAATGCATCACCGTTTTACAGTGATAAAACAAGATAATTCAGCAACATAAGGTATTATATGCTGTTAGGCTAAATTATAGTTTTAGTCCCTATAAAAGTGGCGTCTTTTAAAATTAATCTTTAAAAAAGATTTGTTAGGATTTAATTCTTAACATACTCAAAATGTTTGAAATTAGTTCTTACTGTTAATTGTCCTTTGTTAAGTGATGAGCTGGATGATGGAGCTCCAGCTCATCACTGGCACATCATCATTTTTTAGAAAAAGTAAATATTTGCAAAAAAGTTTCTGAAAATATATTTATATTATTTTGGAAAATTAATTAGCAAATAGAGTACTCTTCCTTGTCGTATTTGTTGGTTAACAAAGGATAGTTGATGGTATGGATTAATTCTAAACATTTTGAAAATTATAGAAACTAACAAAAAAATTTTAAAGAGCAATATTAAACGGTGCTACCTTTATAGGGACAGAAAATATACTTAAGCACTGTAATTAGTATTGCAGGTATCGCGATACAATTCTACCGAAACGTAAGGATTTAGTCACGGGACGATACAAATCGTATGGTGTATCATTTTTTGTTGGGGAATCATTGTTGGAGTCGCATGAATCTTAGGATTCGATTCTGAATTGCGATTTTGGGGGCGCACTGCGGTTCAGTTGTGAACTGGGTCACGCACCAGTCGGGTTGGGTCAGCGCGACCCGGTATCCTAAAAACCTTTTTTTTTGGCAAAAACTACTGTTTCCACTTAAAAATGCCTATCCGAGACCCACCCTATCAGACCCGCTATTTTACAGTGAAAGAAATCCTTTTTTTCTCTATTCCCCTATGTTGTGCTCCTCTTCTCCACTCTTCTCTTATTTTATTGCTTTTCACTTCAGATTTCTGGTGGTCCCTTCATTTATTTTTGGTGGTCCTTCAAGTTCTTTCTCATTCCGGTGCTCTGCTCCCCTGCTTTTCAACAGTTCCTATTTTATATTTGTCTTCTAATTTTTTTCTTTGTTGTTTACTGTTGGGGGAGCTAATGGTCCTATTTTATATGGATGATTTATGTAGTTACAACTTTTTTGGTGTCATTGTGGCTGATGTGACTTGAATTTTTGTACTATGTTTCATTTTATTAGTTATACAATGAAGTATTTGATTATAAAATGTCAATATGTATTTAATTTTTATTATAGTTTTAGTAATGGTCATGAATCTTACAATTCACGATACTACCATGTACTTAAGTCTATTATGTTTGAATCAACAAACACTGAAAATAATATAGAATAGGATAAATTATCCTATCTTGTCATTTTATCTTGTCCACCAGATAAACCCTTAAGAAGTGTATTAAGATGAACAAGAAATTGTATATTTTTCTAAAATAAAAATAATTCTTGTAATCACTCTGAGGAGAAGCATAATAGAATTATAGAAAGCCATTTTTTGTTGTCTAAAAGCATTTTATGACCCTAAATTAATGAATCATAGACCCTTTTCCCTCCTAGATCACAAAAAGGAAACAGTGCGTACTACTAGTCCATGAATTGTTATCCACTAGTCCATGAATTGCCAGACTATCATACTATGAAATTTGGACAGATCTTTTCTATTATCATTGGAGCCTCTTAAAAAGATATTTCAAGTTGAACAAATCTACTAAATTCACTGAGTTGTTCCAAAGAATCAAAACAATCACATGTTAATGGAATTGCTTGTTGGTTCATTGTAATTACTTGTTTGGGTAGGGCTTCAAAATACAGTGTAAGCTAAAACCCGTGTTGACAAACCAATTGGCAATGAATCATATGATGATGATATCAATAATCAAGTTTTGAATATTGGTCATCTTATCAACAAAAGAATTTTCACCTTTGGTTCTAGATATGTTGAGCTCCATGTATTCTTGTACATTCAAAGGGGGATTGGTTCCATAAAAGATGGGATTAGTAGGTAGAAATTTACTGAAATGCTATTTGTTAGATCATTAATTTTGTACCACAGGTGTCTTTCAAGTATACCAAATTCTGAATCAATATAGCTAGTTATCCTTCTTCCAATGTAGCAACAAATTACGATACGATTAACTATCCTATATGGTAACAAATGTTGGGTCTTAACTCTTAAAGTAACAGCATGAGAAAAAAATGAGAGTAGTAGACATGATAATGTTAAGGTAGATGAGTGGTTACACGAGAAAGTATATGATAAGAAATGTACGTATACATGATAATATTGAAGTATTAGTACCTTTGGTGAAAAAGATGAGTGAATCTGATAGATGAGTATTTCACCTTTTTAACAAATAAGATGAGTATTTCACCTTTTTAGGTTTGACTAAAAACTAAGGAACAATTGAAATGTGAATCTGATAGATTGGTACTAATAATTCATGAAGGAGATTATCATTCGTATGGAATTCAATTAGCTGCCAAATTTCGAAACATACTTTTTGTGGTCGTGAAACATGTTTTTACTTTGAATCCTTCCTTTTTCCTTTTAAAGAATGGAATTGGTTAGTTCTCCTGTAGCAGGATCAATAAGAGGAGTAATAGCTACTATTTGGTGACAGAAGAACAACTAATCCATTATTTTAATAAAAAATGAATTTTTATGTTGCCATTTGATGTATACTTTGTCCTCTTGATCGGCTGTTCTGTGTTTCCGTAACTATGTGCCAGGGTTCCTTGACTTCTTTAAGAGATAAACACCAGCGAACTGTATACCGCCTGACCCTGGTGAAAGGTTGGAATACTGAAGATGTTGATGCTTATTCTAAGCTCTTCAGTTTAGGAGAACCTGACTTTGTTGAAATCAAGGGAGTTACATATTGTGGCTCGTAAGTCATACCCCTCTTACTCTCTTTCTCCTCTTTACTCCAGCTGGATTTGTCTTAGAACCACTTTTGAATGACATTGAGCTCTTCGCAGGTCTGCTACATCAAAATTGACAATGGAAAATGTCCCTTGGCATACTGATGTGAAAGCTTTCTCAGAAGCTCTTGCTTTGAAAAGTCAAGGGGAGTACGAAGTTGCATGTGAGCATGCTCACTCGTGCTGCGTGCTTTTAGCAAAAACTAAGAAATTCAAAATTGATGGCAAGTGGTATACATGGATAGACTATGAAAAATTCCATGATCTGGTGGGTATTGATGTTCTACTGTTTTTTTTGGCTGATTTTGATTATTGTTTTGTTTATGTAATTTAGCCTCAATTTAATTTCAGGTGGCATCTGGAAGAAATTTTGACAGCAGAGATTATATGACTGCCACACCATCCTGGGCCGTCTATGGATCAGAGGAAGGAGGATTTGATCCAGGACACTTGAGATATAGGAAAGAGAGACATCATAAGTCAAGCCGCCGCAATCAATCAGGTTAGACATTCAAGGACCGTCGGCAGCCAACAGCAGTTTTCCTGTTTATTGTTTTCAGTCGTATAACTCAATAGGTTATACAGCATATTCAATAGGATAGTTTTGTAATACCTGGCTTCATACGTAGGTTAATACCATTTTAGTGTATTTAAGCTTCAAAGTTCTCCCAATCGGCAGTTGAACAGAACATTTTGTTCTTCTTATTTACCACCTTGGATGTCAATGTTGCAGTCCAGAATATATAGTCCCGAAGCAATTTGCTTTTTGAGATTGAGATTGGAAAAATATGCTTGGTTTTCGCAGCACCGAGAATCGCTTAGTATTGGTCTGTTGTACTTTTTTAGCGAATTCTTGCAGGCGAGGAAGATTAGGTGGAAATATGATAATTCAATGCAAACACGACACACGTACAATATGTAATCTCAAAAGTAATGATCTATTTTCTTCTTGGAGTTAAATAGTAGGTCGTGTATAAGTTTTAAAATGTTACTGTCACAAGTTTAATGTACGCCTTTGTTTCCGAATACCAATACCAAGTGATTTCTTGGAGTTTGTTGATTGTGTGTGTGGACTTCTACTCAAGGATACACAATTTCATTAAAAAGTAAGCAACTTTGGTTTTTTGAAAGTCTCTAGTGACATGAATTTGGTCTTTAATATCATACTTTTATGCACTAACACGATTACATTAATGTTATTTTCTGTTATTTAAGAAGCTTAAAGTGATGTCAACTTTCTATGATCGAGAGGGGCTGAGTTAATGCCGATTTTTGTTATTGAGGGACTCGAACAATGGTTTTTTAAAACTGATGTGACGTTTCTTTCAGGATCAAATTGATGTCAACGTGAGAGCAAAGTGATACTTTATTAAAATTCTCCTACCCCCAAATCACCCGGAATATATTATTTAAAGGTCAAAATATTAGTATCTATCTAAAGCGGTTCCCGGATGATGCGTCACTCACTTCACAGTCGTACTCATGTATGTTAGAGTTGCTTCTTTGCCAGCACCACCGTTATAACAGTTAAGTTTTATATCATAAGTGAGGGAGGATATATAGATTACATGATGTCATTAAACATGATTAAAATTTAAACTTTTAAAAATTTATTCTTTTTAATAAATTTATTTAAGATTCTTTTAGTTTTTCTTCTATTATTTTTTATTGTATTAAGAGTATTACAGCTCACTCTCTTTACTTTATTGATACTTTACAACACCAGTGTACTGTTATTAATTCGTATTTCAATTTTTAAAGATGTGATTTTTGTTGTTTTTATGTTATTCATTTACTCTACTTTGGTTACATATGAGAGATGTTGCAACATTTTAGTTTGCTAGTGCTACAAGTCTGATTTCCCTTTTCCCCCTAAACATGCTTTCACACAGCGGCAACTATGTTCTGCCAATTTTCCTTTGTAGTCCCTTTCAATTATAATCCATTTGCCAACTATCTATTTGCTGAAGACAACTTTGGACCACGATAGAATCGTCTGATTTCAGACCTAAATCACATCAATCTAGGTTACTTTCATAATTAGTTGCTAATATTAATAGTTTGTATTTTTTTTATCCTATTTATAAGATCCCTCAACTAAATCAAACTGTTTCAAAAACTTTATTAAAAGTAGTTAATCTATTTGTTTTGAAAAATTAATTAAAATATTAGAGGTTTATCCCTATGTACAGTTAAATTTTATTATCATGCTAATTATTGAGAAGTTAAAACAAAATAATATTTTTGAAGGATAAAAAATAAAAAATAAAAAATAAAAAATAATCTTAAAAGTTTGTAAAATGTTATATATTAAGAATCAGGAAAAGATTTCAAAATAGCCATCTAAACGAATTATGGGAATACTGATTTCCTGCTTCCAATTTGCCTGCTACTGGAAAATTATTTAAATGAAACACAAGAATCGAAGCAGCATGATTTGGCATATGATGATCTGTATTTGATTAATTAGTCATTAATATAATAATATGAACGAGAAAACGACAGAGCAAAGCTCCGTGAAGAAAATATAGTACAATATTCTTGTCTCTCATTGTACATATTGCAAGGAGCACCTTTTCTAATTCTACCCAAAGTTGGTTAAAGTAATAGTTTCTCTCGGACAACACCCCCCCTCTACTCGCTGTCTTAACATATTCTTAAAATCGAAATCTCTTTTTCTAATTGGGGCAAAAATCAAATAAACAATACAAATGGAGGTAAGTTACAAGCTTGACCAAACCAAGCGCAAAACACCACTAAACTTGCTTATAAGACACTAAACAAACTACCATAGTTAGTTATATTTAGAACATAAAAAAAAACTTATAAGTTTAAAACTGGAAAACTAATTTTTGTTTAAAAACTTTTAGTTAGTTATATATTTTGAAGAAAGATCTTCTCACACTAATAAAAAGTTTAAAAATTTGTATACTTGATCTGAATATTTTATTTAACTTATATCTAATAATTAGTAAAATAATAAATTATAATCTATTAAATATAAATAAAATAAAAAGTATAAAATATTTAGACTTACACTAACACTGTACGAGAAGATCCTGTTTCAACGAGATTTTTACGAGATGAAATTCTACTGTTCTAGCAGCTATTTTCACGGCTCTTATAGCTTTAGTTTGCTCCTTTACTGAAAGCATTGTACCAAGTCAGTCTTTTGGAATTCTAGATGACTTCCAAAGATTGAATTTCGGCTTAATGCTGCCATATTTGCTAAGTTAGATTAAAGGTGAAAAATGTTGCACGTCACTTAAAAGATTAAGACAGAAAGCCATGAGAACTAGTTGTAGGCCACGAACGAAAATTGTCATTCGCTATAATGAGAAGAAAAGGCATTTTGCCAACACAACAAATGCCTGCAATCATTCTTAATCATAATAATTGATATCTTCAAAAAATTTAAAAACTTGAATAGAAAAACAACCTTGATGTTGATTAAGTAGTAAGTCCTATCTAAACAACAAATGCTTAAGCAATGAAAAATTAAAATGAAAAAGTTGATTGCTGTCATGTGGTATCCATAAATATGGAGAGGATTTTAAAATAAAAAAATATTAATATCTTTTTTAACTAAACTTAATATGAAATTAATGATTAAAATTATTTCACACATAAGAAAGGATAACAAACTCTTACAATTACATAGGCACCGTAAATTTAAAAAAAAAAACATTTAATTGTCAATGAATTTAATTTTTTATTCTTCAATTTAATAAGTATTTTCAGCAAAACTCACGTAAATTTTTTTTAAATATGTACAAAAAATTTAAACACCAAAAGTTATGAATAGAAAAATGACATTTAATTGTACAAAAAAAATTCTGTCTGTTAATTAACCTCAACTTCTTTATATATGATTCATTATTCTTTCTTTGGTTAAAATCTGTACTATTTTTTTTACCAAACGGCATTGATTTTTGGTCGACAGTTATGAATCATAAACAAATATTAATCTTAACTTAACCCCTTTAAGCCTATAATTATTCTCTGACTTAAAAAAAAAACCGAACATACAGTCTTTAAACAGAACTGGAGGAAGAGAAATACCTTTTGTTCTTTTTTTTTTGTTAATTATAATGACAATGAAAAAGTTATGCAACAACGAGTGGAGACGTGGATTCGTGTGTGTAATACAAAAGTCGGCACAACCAGAGGCCACCCCTCCCAAATCGCAGACGCAGAACGTGGTTTTCACGTCCCACCTAGTGGAACCATCCTTATCATTCATTGGTCCGTTGAGGCGGCTACTACGTTTTTTATTGGAACGTGAGCTCACGCGGTGTTCTCCTTCACCAGGCGCCCAAATTCTCATTTCTCAATCACCCTTTCTGTAATAACACAGTTCTGAGCGGATGAAAAAATTATTGAATACTTTTTAAATATTTTTTATTAATTAAAATTCATGACTAATCATCCTATAATGTTACAATTTTTTAATATTTTTTGTCAATTAGAAATCATGATCACATGTAGCATGATTAACCGAGATCATGCAGACTTTTACCTCAAGTTCCTCTCTAACGTGGAAATTTTTAATTTTATCTTGTTAATTTTTTTCATTCATCAATTTCCTAATAAACAATAAATAAAACTGCTTGATATTTATTAAGAAAAATAAATACAAAATTTTAAAGTGACATATGTACATGACAAAATCATTTCCCTCCTAGCTCATAACGATGCCTCTTCTTAGCTTTGATATTACACACACGTAAGTAAACCTTACCCGTTTCACCTTATTGTATCTATATCATTCCATTTGTTATTCTCTTCTTGGTCCTATCATTGCTTTCTCTTTTCTCCACTCTATCTATCTCATTCGTTTAATCTTTTGCAATCAATGAACCCAAGGTAGATAACAGCTAAGTAGAGGGAGATCAATATAAATTAAGACAATACCTTAGCTTCTCGAACCAGAATCCATCAAAAGACAACATCAGTTGCAATCGAACTTTATAAATCCACGTGATTAATTAATAAGCATCATCAAGCTGATGATGGTATAGTATATAGCAGGCAAAAATAAATAAAAAAAGAGAACTTTGGAATATCAAGAGCATACCCAATATTATAAAACTATATAAATAAACATAATTAATATGCAAACATATAAGTGATGATGATATAGTATATAGAGGGGGAAAACAAGAAAAAAATCTAGCTTTGGGATATCAAGAAAATACCCAGTAGGATAAGTATTATTGTATATGCAAAACAATAGTTTATAGTTGTATGCAATAAACACAACACATCCAAATAAGAACATATTAACTTTCTTTTCTGCGTGTGAATGAAGCAATGCATCATTCAAGTTCAACTAAAGAAACAAGTAATTGAACTCATGAAACCATAACTCAATACAAGGATTAGATAAAATAAACAAAAAGTTACACACCAAAGAACTAGAAAAAGGTAAACCAATAACTTGAGAGAGAAATTGTTTGTTTTGACAGCAACAATATCGGTTATAAATCAAAATCCCGGAAATAAAAACATGGCAAAGGAAGGAAGGAAGAATTGCATGATGAAAAAGAGAAGAGAAAAAGGAGTAATGATTATATATGAGTTATATTAACTACTCTTTCTGGGCTTGCTTTTTCTCCTAGCTCTGCTTCTCGAGGGTTCCCCTTTCGGAAGTTGCATCACTTCTTGCTTTGTAATCCTCATGCATGTTTCTGATGCTCCCTCTTCTTCTTTGGTTGAACCTTTTTCCGTTGAGCTCTCAGTGCCTTGTGCTGCTATAGCTTGTGCCTTTTCTTCTTCGCTTTCCATCTTGACAATAATCTTACGGGGTCTACCTCTTTTTCGAGGAGCTTGAGGTGGTGGTTGTTGTTGTTGCTGCCCCATCTCATCTATTGTTGATGATGCTTCACCTATTGCCACCGAAAGTTCCTTAATTTTTTGTGGCTTCTTCTTTCCCATAAATCAATACAAGTTATAAGCTTCAATCTCTATCACTAAATCACCAATACTCACTATTTCTAATTTTCTAAATCGTCGATTTTAAACTTTGACCATCAAAATCAAATCTTTCATCCCTTAGAATAACCCTTCAATTCATTTACAAGATAGACAAGATAAGAAGAAGAAAGATGATTCTGTTTCTAATGTAAAACCCTCTCTCTTTATTTTTTGCAATATGTTTAAAAAGCAAGAAGACCAATATCTTTGACCAGAATCCAGATTCTGGAAACGCTATAAAAGCAAGACCCTTCTAAACTATAGTGGAATAATAAAACAAATAACTACAGGTCTTCATTCGGCTGCCAATAAAATAAACAATTCATAAAATCATAATTCACTTTCTTTTTTTGTCCATTCATTCATTCCCTCTAGTGTCATTCCAATTTACACTTTAATTTCTTTAATTATTTCTAGTTTCTACCACATCATATAAAATGAAGTAAAATTAAAATAAAAAGAGAAAAAGAAGTAGCTAAGTATGCTATGGCTAGTTGCTACTAGAAGAAAGTAGAGTAGTAGACAGCGCCAGCAGAGATGAGTATGCAAAGAGAAGAACCTTTCTCTTTGACTAGTGAATTAGCTAAACTAAACTAAACTAACCCAAAAACCCATGGTAGGGAAAATGAGAGTGGAAAAGTAATAGTACTAGTAACCATGGTTAGGAGTGTGGACCAAAGAAGTGATGGGAAAAGGGCATGTGGGGTTTTTACAAAGGGGTAAGGTAGCCAGATTTGGTGTGTGTTTGTGTGTATTGTACTACTCACACGCAGTGTTCCAGTCTGACCACTTGTGTTGCTTCCCGGGTTTCGCGTCCTTACTCTTCTCTAGCTTTTAATGTTGGGGTCATCATACAAGTGTGTGTGTGTGTGTAGTGTATACTTGAACTCTCTTTATTTTTTGTTACCATTTTGACCGTGAATTCTATCTTCAATCACCCATCAATTAATGATCTATTCGCGTGTGTTAATTGGAACATTGTCTCAGTAGTTCATCCTACTTGGATTGGATGCAAGTGTTGTGATTGTTAGGAGCATGGCACAAGACACTAGCTCAGTCTAGCCGAAATTGTTGATAAGAGAAATCGTGAGTCTAGAAAATGGTTTTACTAAATCTGTGGATCACTTAGTTACTGATTAAGATTACTTACTTAGAAGCTTGTCTTGTTATTAATCAATTTTAGTGAAACTAAACCAAGGATTGAGTGTGTTATATAAATTCTTATATTGATGGGTTAGTACACATTAAAAGATATACAAGGAAAAAAATATATCAGCTATAAAATTATCTAAAAGACAGAAACTCTTTATCACTACTAGATCAAACACACCTAAATCGTAATAGTGCCCTTAAGTTTGTACATCACATAAGACCTGATCATAAGATGAACTAATTCAATTCCATTCAATAAAATTTTGAATTTAAATGTTAAAACTTGAGTTTAAATTAAAGTTTTACATTTTTCATTTAATCTAATTAAATATGTTGTGGGTTTAAATAAAAATAACAATGATTCCGAAATTTGAACATTATTTTAGAATTAAGTATAAACTTATTTTTGTGTAACCAAGATTAAAACTTACCACCCATGGATGCATTTGAATGGACCAAATAGGCTACTTTACCGGTTGTATGTCACATAGTCTTGTAAGGGTGAGGGAGCACTCCATTATTCTGGCTTTGCACATTAGTCAAATGAAACATTTTATAAGAATAAAATAAGATGTTTTCTGTGGCAATTTGAATCAAATGACAAAACTGACAAGAGAAAAAACATGCAAGGGTGGTTTGTTTCGCGGGACCAAATTAGCAACACATGACGCTAATGTTATTTGGTTTTTGACCCTCTCATTTACATTTATAGATATGTGGAAGAGGTACCTTTCTAATAGCATCTAACGAAGCTTCGTATTTTGTTTTTATATAGTCAGGATTGGTCAAATGAGTCATAAGGAGGCTTAGTGATTTCTCTCATAATCAATTGACGAGTCCTTAAAAGTAAAGTTATTTATATATTATTATCATTATACTATAATTAACTCACTGATTAAGTATAAGCTTTCATGTACATACTCGTATATTATGTAATTAGGTGTGTACCACTTTCTTTTTTAGCAAAGAATAAGAAACATATGTTTTTGTAAAGTAATTTTAAAAAATTAATAAATAACATTTTTAATAAAAATGTATGGTATTGAATTCTATTAATTCATTATATTTTATAATTTTTATAAACATAATTTATTATTATGTGTCATTAAATACACGTTAAAAATTGTTTATTTATTTAAATAAGAAAGTGAAAAAATGTATATATTTATGTGGTTTGAAATGCAAATAACAAATTTTCATAATGTTTAGGAACAGTCTCGTGCAAGAGAGGACCACTGGTTATGTACTTTTTGAAGCTTAAACCCCCCAAATTAATGATCTACAACAACAACAAAACAATATTTTGCTTTATAATCAAAGATTATTATGGAAATAAAAAAGCAGACAAGCTATCTTCTTGTATGCTTCAGAAGGTCCAGTCATATAAACATCTTAGCACCTTTCAATATTATAATTGTCGTGTCACCATGTGGAAATTGAAAAAAACATCAAAACCACAGTAAGGCTTAGATCGATGGTGAAAATTATTGAAAACAAAACCTTTCTTTTTCGATATGATTATGTCACATTGTAATACCAGTACTTCGTGAACACAGAATAATATACGAACTAACAAAATATAGTTGAAAAGTTCATTTTAGTGTTAAAGCGGCAATGGCAAGTTACAACAATGTACCGTGCTGTGTTACATAGTAATAATTAGTATTGGTTTGAAAAATTAAGTTTAAATTGTTTAACACCATCCCTAATATAATTTTTATAAAAAAAAAATCCAATACTAACATGTAGTATAAATTTAATTTAAACGTACTATCTTGTAAAATCATTCAATCATGAGTTATTATGTAAAAATCATTCATTTTTATGATAATTAATATAAAAATCAACATTAATGAAGTGAGACGATTAATTCATGGTGATGTCCATGTTTCCAAGGATTAGATGAAACACTTTGAAATTTGTACATTTTTTTTTTAAAGTAAGTTGATACTCCTGGTTCAAATTAATCACACTCTCCATGTATGTCTAGCCAGAAAATTTAGCTTTAAATAATCTTTGCCCCAAAAGATAAAAATGTACATCATATTATGTGAAATACTAGAGTACAAACTATAATGAGTGATTTTTTAAAAATTAAATTTATATATATTATAATGATATTTGATTTCTGAACGTGTGATTTTACTAAAATAATATATGAATAATTAACAAGGGAAATAATAAAAAAACATGAAAATTTGTTAACCCGTATTGTATAAATTAAATTAAAATATCTGGTACATAATTACATAAAAGATCAATATATAATATTATTGATTAAATATTTTTGCCATAAAAAATTTTGTCAGTTGTTGCCAACGACAAAAAAAAATGCATAATTGGTGTGTAATTGATCAGAAATTGCATTGCCACAAGGTGGAGTGCCAACGTCAAATGATAATTTGGGCAACAAATGGATACCCTCAACTTTTTTTGTGGCACTTTTATTTGAGGTGCTTATATATTTTGTGGGTCCGATTCATCATGACCATTAAAACACGAATCCAAAGAATATCTTGCCCCTTCCATGTGCATTTGGATTTTTTGGCAAAAAGGTGCAACTATTTAGCATAAATTTGGTGTACTATCTAATTAGAGGAATTAGTTCAATGAATAATTGATACTTAATTAATTTATTATAATAGTTATTAATGATAAACTAATAGTCCTCCATTAGTGTAGATTATATATATTCTGCAGTTGGGTTAGGTACTTGAACTTGGGGTGTTTGCTATTAAGCTCTTGCAAAAATATATGATAAGATAATTTTGTAATGAAGTGAAAGAAATGGATAACATTATATTATAAAAACATTGTAAGAAAGAAAACTACTGTATATCCTATGTTGATAGATTATGCATTTATATTGTGTGTGTGTGTACATATATATATATACATAAAAGATAATATATGCTTTTATATCGAAATATTTGCATGATATTAAACACTTAAAGATGGTGTTAAGCTCTTGAAAAAATATCAGCAGCAAGAGTCTACAAGATTCCACATTTCCTTTCTTTTTTTTATGTTTATCATTTGGGCCAATTCAAACAGATTATGCATTGTTGGAATATTGTGGCACAAGCATACATACTACCAGAAGTGGTTGTATCCCACTTTTCTCTCTCACACTTTATTTTTTTATATTTCTTTTTAGTATGCATTGTTGTAAGGTCATGGCACAAGCATTACAAAAACCCTTCTCCTTGCATGTGAAACCCCACCACAAATTCCTTTGATAAACCCCAACCTTTAACAATTTGTCAAACAGCTTCATTATCATAGAGCATGTGGCAAAGTGTTTACTTCTAATAGGAACCACCTTTGTAGAGCTTTGAAATCTAAACTTATATATGACCAATGATGCTTTTACACACACACAAAATTAAAAGAGATGTAATTAAAGAAAAAGAGAGAGAGAAGTAATAGATAAAATAAATATTGTGATGTAGAAAGATTAAAAAAAAACATTATTAAATGTGTATCACCACTCTGTATATTGTTGTAAGTAACAAATGCATAATTCATAGTTGACTAGTGTATGCTTTGGATTTTACATGAATAATAATTGAAATTAGATTATTACCCCTTTTCTTATGCGAGTTCCACTGATAGAGAAGATGATGAGTTCACACATGCAGTAAAAGTAACATAAAATTTTATCAAATAATGAAATGTTAAAATTACGTAGTTAAGTATAATGTAAAAGAAAAAAATTGTGTTAAAATTTCATTCAAGTTAACACTAATAAACATGAAATACATTTTCCAAAATTTATCTTTTTCAAAGTTAGTTTTTTTGAATAGTTGTCTATCAATTAAAGTAACAATTGTGCCAGTTCTGATTTGAAATACTGCCTTTTCTCTTTTCTTATTCTATTCCTTTGGAAGATAAATGTTCAAATATTCCAAAGAAGTCACACCTCTAAGGACTTGGACCATCCATGAATCATGAGGAATCTGATTATTTCTATCATGGACGTGACTACTTAACAGAAATAAAAACTAATCTAATTATATATTTTACTCTTTGTTTAAGAGTATATAAGGAAAGGGAAAAAAATTGAAAGATAAGAAAAAACAGGAGAAAAAAAAAGATTAATACAAAACTTCTGAATTACAGAGATATAAAATTATGTGATTATGAAACTTTTGAAAAGCTTATAAATTTTTTATCTCTCATTTAAAAAATCTCAAATAAATATAATTATTATACAAATTTTTCTTTTTTTTTCTAAAAATTAACTCTTAAATAAAACCTTAAAAAAATGACTAAAATTTTATTTATTGTACTTTTTTTCTCGCCTCCGCTAATTAGTTTATTCATTGTAACAAATAGATATGATAAATAAGCATTTTTTATTTATTATATTCAAATTATGTGAATTGCGGTGATTTATTATATAATTAACTTTGATTTTGAAGTTTTGATTTAATTATGGATTTTAAAATTTTTTAATATTATTATACATTTAGAAATTGAGCAATATTAAATTTATGTTAATTAGTTGATTAATAGGTGACCATCCATGGTTAATCAATAGATCTATAAGACAAATAGGGTTACACGTAAATGAATGAGCAAACCTTAACTCTCACTTAAAACGGGCTATTGGGTTAGCAAATCTCTCTGACCTCAATACTTTTCTTCACAATTTCATTGTAGACTAAATAGGATATTTGACTAAGAATTAGATTTAGAGATGCATGACCATTGATTTTTAATAGAACTAGTAAAGATAACTAATTACTATAGGAGTTTGGATAATTACACGAGAATTGAAATAATTAAAAAAAAGTGAAGTCTACACCCTAAGTTAAATTATAATTGAGTCATTGATTTGATTTTTATCTTTCATGATTTTTGAATTAATTATTGATTTTTCTTAATATAGACACAGACATGAGTCTTAATTTGGTTGTGTAAATAATAAAAGGCTTTGAAACATTGATAATTGCTAATTAATCGCTGTCAAACGATATTTGCCACTCAATGAATATATTAATTAATTAAATAGGGTGCACTTGCCCTTCACATGTATGATGAAGAGAAAGAAAAGGATAAAACTATATTATAAAACATAGTGTAAGAAAGAAAAGTAGTGTATATAATATATCGATAGAAGGTCGACCACTAATTTAGGCGAAATATCCTATAATTCATTGTATTATCAACGGAACTACGTCAGAATCGGATTGCCTCAATTGACTTGAATAATTATGAAGGTTGATAGAGACAAAAAAGTCTCATAGGGAACACAGTCATTCAACTTGAAATTCAAAATGCCCTCAATAATAATATTTTATTATTCCAGTTTAAAATATAATATACTCATATAATATACTCACAGTTTATATTAAATAAAAAATATGTATATATATATATATATATATATATATATATATATATATAATTAGAGAAAAACCAAGTAGGCTTGAAAGCATTTGGCAACAAGGTAGAGTTGAAGCATTCTCATTCCTGATGCACCATTTTTTATATAACTCAGTGTTTCAATACGCCAACTGTACACTGTATGGAAGTTATCGAAAAAATATAACTTTAAATATTCATAAATTTTAGTGCAATATTATGTAAAGGAATGTACGATAACAACCAATTAAAATAGAGTTTTATTAACTTATTTTTTAGGGTTGAATTTAAATATTTATAGCTAAAAAAATTTATAAAAATATATTTATTATATTAAACATAAAAATATAATTAATATATTTTTTTAATAAAATTTTACTATTATCAATTATTTATCTTTAATCTTATAAAATAATGAAATATATTATTATTACAAATATTTCAAAAGCCGTTTTATTGGTCCATCGGAAAACCAAACAGGGGTACACTTGTCTGCATGAACCTCGTTTGGGTCGGTGGGCTATATTGGGCCTTCTTTAGATCAAAAGTGAAAATCCAACGACAACGCAATTTTCAGCTTTTAAATGCTGAAAATTTGGGGGAAAAAGAGAGAGAAGACACGTGGATAATTCTTGTAGAATAATATAGAAAAAGGTTCAAATTTTCAAATCTATACATTTTTAAAAGAATTGCTAACAAGTACCACATAAATAGCCAATTTCTTTCGTGTATTATGAGCTTTGAGAAAAGAAAAAACCGAGTAATGAATGCTTCATCAGGAAAACGAATCTTTAGAATTTTCTATTTTTGGAAGAAAAGACAAACTCGAGGTAACAATTAATTTGTTGTCACTAATTACAAATGAAAGAATTTTTTAGGTGAATAATTTTAAATTTCTCTCTTTTTGTATAGAGCACGCATATATTTTTTTTTTTATTGAAGACAATTTTATCCAAACCAAATAAAATTACTATGAGTGACAAAACTCTCTATCTTTACTATATTTAGTAAAATGAATTAAAAGTTACAAATTTATAATTTTTAAATACAAAGTTACATGAGAACTATTAACTTACCGTTGAAAACCTATAGCTATATAATTAGTTTATAAAATTACTTTTTTTGATAAATTAGTTGACTAATTTATGTTAAATAACTTTAAAAAGTATATAATATTAAGTATTTAATACATCTCATTAATAAAAATAATACTATTAATTTAAACAAAAACTTTTATTTTTAACATAATTAATCTTAACATGTTTTATCAATAAAAATTATATGAATTAATTTAAATAATTTATTTCTTAATTTTAAAAGTATTATTTATATACTTAATTTATTTTTATTTAACAAAATATATTATCAATTATTATAATAAAAAGATAACAAATGAAGAGAAAAAAAAAAGAGACTACCATGAAAAGGAAGAGAACATCACAATAAGATTAACATGTTAGAGTTTTAATCATACAAAAAAAATTGTCTTTTAAAAATAAACAAATAGTAAAAATATAATAAAAATATTAGTAACTCATTTATAAAAACTAAACGTTTTTTTATAAATCATAAAAAGCTAACTTTTATAATATAGTAAAAAAAATTATTAGAACTATATTTAAAAGGATTAAGAAAAATTTTATTTATATTAAGAACTTAAAAATATTTAATAAAAGATATAAACTTCTTAATTAACAACAAAAAAAACGTTTTCAATTGTTCTATAGCCAACAATTAAATAACACAAGCGATGATTTTCCAAGCACACAACGTAATGTTTTAAAAATTAAAATACACTCGTATTCACAACTTATAAAAATAAATAAATATAAAATAACACGTGCCTTTTAGCTTTTTTTTCATTTCTTCTCATTTCTAATTTAATAAATTTTTTATATTTTTAGAATTTTTTAAGAATTTAATTAATAATTAAAATATGTTAAAATGAGTTTATTTATAATAAATGCTATTTAATTTCATCCTAATCTAATACGTTGCTACTCAACAAAAGTCTCTGCCTTATAAAAGCATTCACATCCCATCACTTTCGTTTTAGGCAACACCGACCTCGTAAGATGTAAATGCAAATTCGTTTGTGTCTATCGGATTATCGGATAAGATGAAAGTCTCTGGTCAGAAGGCCCATTTCCTTGCAATCTTATAATCACACCGTTTCGTATTTTGAATAATACCTTCAATTGAATTTATTAATATCAGCTTAAGATAAAGACAAACCCAATATAATATTATTAAAATATGATTTGTTTTTGACGTAAAAATGATCCTACAAGCATATACTTTCATTATCTATTTTTGGGATTGTACTAATATAATTATATAATATATGCTTTCTAAAGAACATAAGGTTGTTATTATTGCAAGCCTGCCACAACCACGGGGCAGGACACTGATGTGTTGTATCTGAAGGTGGATGCTTGTCATGTGCATAGCGATCTGAAAGGTACTTTGGTGTTAGAATTTGATTGCATACAAACTTGGGTGGTTTGTGTTAACGAAATGGTATGCATCATAATCTAAGATTGTGGATGAAAACTTTTCGTGGTTATAGTTTATTTGCGGAAATAAAGGGATTTGAATTTGTTTGTGGTCATGCATCTTCCTGCAACACACCCGAGATTTTGGCTCCAAGTAACAAGTGTGACGTGTCTGTTATTTATTTGCTATAGTTACAAGATCTAAATGCTCTTTAGTTTCATACTTCATCACTTCTGTGTTCCTTTTTCGTTGTAATTCAGGAGTTGCTGTGTTTTTTTCCTCGTGACTTATGATTTCCACCTTCACTCAAGTTCTCTTTCATCTTTCCTTTTTTTTTTCCCATGTTTTTCTCAATTTTGATTTATAGTTTGTGACCTTTGTTTATAAGATTTAATGATTCAATAATCTAAGAATTCCCAGTGTTTTATTGATTTTGGAGCAGGTTTGAGTTGGCAATTTGATGTAGACTTGGGTGGTTGAATTTCTAAAGATGCTCTCAATCTATGCCATAGAGAATTTGAGTGATTGAGTGAGTGGATATGAACATGGAAGGGTCTTATGAGGCATCATGCAATGAAGAAGCTGGTAATAAAAGCCTTCAGATCATTAAATATTCACCTTATAAACCCTGCAGAAAAATATCATCACCATGGTTTGATCTAAGAGTGTTTTATGTGAGAGTGATTGGCATTCAGGTGGATGAATCCACCCCAGAGTTTCTCTCTCTCAATCATATTCCTCTAAGTCCTGATACCCTTTTGGAGGTGAATGGTGTTAGAAGCAGCATTTACTATGATGGAGAGTCTTCAGTGCTTCGAAGGGACAGAGTGGATAAGAAATCTGAGGAAGCAACCTTTGTGAACACTGATAGTATACGTTTGACTGGGAGCATGAAGTTCGAGGTTTATGATAAAGAACATTGCATTCTCTCTGGGGTTCTGGAGATGTCTAATAGCAATGGTTTTGTTGGAGAATCCAGAAGTAATGTGAAGAGATGGAGTATGAGTTGTCAAACAGAAATGGCACCTGGGTGTGGCTTCTTCAAGGGAAAACATGGTTCTGTCCATGAATCACCTTGTCCTGAAATTGAGGTTTATGTTGCTGGTTGCTTCTCAGGAACACCAATTATCTTAACAAAGACACTGCAGCTTAATTGCCGGAAGAAGAATAATAGAAAATGCACATTGGATGCCATTCCAGAATATGAAACAACTGAGTGCCAGAAAGATGTATCTGATCATGGACTTCATTTGCAGGTAAAAAAATGGATGGTTTTTTGGCATGATGTTCTTATGCTCTTGTCTTTTGGATTTGGTTCTTGGACTAAGACTTCATTAAGTGTGGTAAATTTCCTGGATGATACAAATTCTGTGTGAAGTTTTCACTAAACTTTGTTATTGTTATCATTAAACTGTATTAAGTTTTCATTTGACAAACTATGTTCTTGGACTAAAATGTGGCAATATCCCTGGATTATACTGAAATTTCACATAAATGGTTATATTTCCTTTTCTGGATAATACAAATTTATATTAAAGTTGTCTTTGTTTTGGTCCCTCTATGTCTACTACCGTTTCAATTTTCATAAGATTGGTCCCAACTTCTGAATAATATCCTAATCCTATAAGTGTCATTGTAGTATGGGCAGGCACAAGTCACAACACAATATTTTTTTATTATTTACGGGGACCTAGGGATTGACCTTATTTTCTGTTTGGTATTAATCAATGTCCCTTCTTAACAGCTTCTGTCCTAAAGGACAATTGGTAGTGGACCTGCACTTGTAGGTAGAGTCTGTTCATCTGTATGTTAGCTTGGAACTATATGGGCTTGGTTTGTGTATGATATAACTGCATAATCCAAATTTGGTTACTTATATGCAGTTCATTTGGAAAAATACACAAAATGTGAGGCCATGATATGCGTATTTGATAGCCCAAGTTTTATCCCTTTTATTTGTCTCAATCTCTGTTAAATATAATCTTTCTGAAATGTGAAACATAAATAATATCAATTGAAGTTCAAAGTGATTCATGACCTGCGGTTTTAGTGTGGAGGATTACCAAGTGTGAGTTTGGAAAACTAATAAAATCACATCTAACCACGTTTGAACGCGAAAGTTATAACTTGTAGCGTTTGAATATATTCACGTCTGAGTGGATTTGATGCATACTTCAAACATGCCATAAGTTTACTTCCAGATAAGTTGGCTGAATGAACAATGTCATTTTCAAGAATAACTACAATTTAACTTCTATGCCATCCTTTTCTAACCTCAAAAGGCACTGCACAACTAGGCGTGAATTCCTAGATTGGATTTTGACAAAATGACTAGTCAAATTACTCTGGGAACATTCAATCTATCCCTTTTTTTATGAAACAAACGCAATTATTCTGAGTATCTGCTTTAAGAGCTTGATTTTCCATTAGCAAGATTTACTTCCAAGTAATTAGTTATGCATTACTCTATACCTGGTTGAATAGTCAGAGTTCGATTTAAACATATCTTTTGATCAAGACAGACATTTATTTGTGCCATGTGAATCATTTGTCCTTACTTTGTCATAGTCTTGCATATTCAATCTACCCCTTCTTTTATGATACTAACGCATTAATTGAGTATCTACATTAAGAGCTTGATTTTTCATTAATGGGTTCGTCTTTTTTGCTATATATACTTCCAAGTAATTTATGCATTGCTCTATACCTGGATTTTCTTTGGATATATAGTCAGAATTCAATTTAGACAGTTTTTTTTATCACGTAAAACATTTGTCTGTGCCATGTGAATTATTTGCAGCTAATTTGTCCTAGTCTTGCACATTCAATTTCATAACTAATAATAATAAATTATGGCAGTTGAATTTCCTTGCACTTGATAAATTTTCATGTTATGACCATGCTGCTTTATGAAAATGCTGGAGTTTCTATGACTTGGTTTTTTGCTAAACTTCCTGTTACAGTCCCTTTATTAATCCTTTTATTTTGCTTTATAGGTTGCTGACTACAGAAGCTTCAAATCAGAACAAGAAGAGAATTACAACATGTATTGGCAAAGAACAGGATATGTAGATGGGGAAGATGGTGAATTATCATGGTTCAATGCTGGGGTAAGAGTTGGTGTTGGAATTGGACTTGGCATCTGTGTAGGAGTTGGTATAGGGGTTAGCTTGTTAGTACGTTCATACCAAGCAACTACTCGTAATTTTAAAAGGAGGTTCATATAACCCCTTCTGAGTTTGAATTTTATGTGCTCCATAATTTAAAGGCAACTATCAATGGTATGTTTTTTTCTTCTTTAATATACTCTTTTCCCCCTTCATAAGCCTTAAAGAAATGTTCTTGTTTCCAACGATGGTATAGATGCTCAAACCCAAATTGTCATTCTCATCGGATCACATTCATTGTGATTGTGTGGTTGATAACGTAGGTTGTAAGTAGCATACAAAAGTGGACTAAATCCTTAACTTAGTTGTCGAGATTATATGGATCAGATATTTTAAATTTTAAGATTCAATCGTTAATCCTTAACTTTGTACAAAATCATTCATTTAAGTCTCATTTTATATTAACAAAAACAAAAGTGTCCTTTTAAGACTAAAAAAAATTAAAATCTCGAAAGACTATAATATCTAACCTGATTATTGTGATGGTATACTCCGCAAATGCGTTTTCATGGAGATGTTTACATGTAGATGGTCAAATGTTTTGGCATGGTAGTTTTTATATTTGAAGAGGTAATCTTTTGAAAAAACAATATTGCCATTGTCATGTTTTCACTAGCCCCTCTGCTTGAACTACATGTCTGCCAGCTTTGGAACAAGTGTAGCATATCAGGATGGAATTGTGAAGCACTAAATTAAGGATAAATGTATATAATAAACCCCTCTCAGCAGTCATTAACCAAACTGGGGATGCCCTTAGTCCTAGCTTGCCCGGAGCCAAAGGGTATACAACGATTAATATTCATATATTCTACACTATATTAACACGCCTCATGTTGTTGGGGTTTCATTGCAAACTGGCCCTGGAGCTAACTCTACTGCAGAATGCCCATTCCCAATGTGGTTTGAGAGCTTGTCATCAGATCCCCAAAAGGCAGCACATTTCAAATCATCCTGAACCATTAATCGGGAGAACTCCTCATGGTTATAAGTCATTATGCTTTTTCCACCTAGTTCTTTGGGAAGATTCTCCTCATCAAAATAAGACTTCATGAGCTCCACGCTATCTTTATTTTTGGGGTAGACAAACTTCACCTTCTGAAATGTTTTGTTATCCAAGAAGTACTTGACTATCTGCAGAAATTGAAGCATATAAGTTTTAACTTCAGTACTTAAATGGAATCATTATTATATTCCCAACAACGCATGAAATTTAATAAGGATACTGGTTAAGGAATCAATAAATAGTATGTTTTATATTGAGAATCATATTGGGATGCATTAACAATCATAGAAGTGTATTTTTATGTTTTTTCAATAAAATATTTCTATTTTTTATTTCTTGAGCTATTTATCGAAGTCGCTATTGAATACAGTATTGTTAGCATTTTCTATTTAATAAAATCAATAGTAGTGGCTATTGAAGCATGAAAAGATATAATACTATGAATAATTTTATAACGCCAATTCAGAGAACAAGGTCAGCAAACCTTCCAAAAAGCTTCAAATACTCTAGGTGGGTTGTAAAGGAATGCTATGCCAAGCCTCTCAGGATAATGATTCTGCAGAATGTTGATGGTCTCTCTAGCTGATTTAATGGGCACATTATTGGTCAATGACCACCCAGTGAAGTCTATTAACCATGCCATTTGTTCTTGACCCGGTGGAAGGTTAAGCATGGCATTTTCCAAAAGATACACAAGATGCCGAATCTGATTCTCTATTGAAGCAGTGTTCTACAACACATCAAATATTTCAATTTCTATACCCATCAAGCTCTAGAAAATTATAGTTATACCAAACATCTCCAAATCAAACCATTATAATACCTGCATTCCAGGTCTCAAAATAAGAACAGTCCTTCCTTGTCTATCATGAAAACTTGCTCTATACAATTTCCCTGTCTCTCCTTCCATTGCAACCTCATGCTGCCAAATGACATCAACTCACAGTATTTCAGATCATATCTACAATCTATGCCCCAAAAATCATGAACAATGAGAACCAAAAACACTGCATACCCAGCGAATTTCCTCAGGCTTAAAGGTTGATCTCCACCTGAGTGACTCCTCCAACATCTTCTTGGACTTATCTACATTCCAGTTTCGAGCTTCCAAATATCTCCTCAAACAAGCATCAGTGCAATACATCAAGCTACGTCCTGATAAGGGTCCAATTTCACCCTTAAGCTCTTTAATCTGTTGTAGAATTTTCGACATACAGAATCAGCACCAAGATGCATACTTAACAGGTAATAACACACAACATCATCAAACAAAAACAACTTACCTTGGACTCAGCATAAAGCTCGTTGCTTTCATGATCTTGTTTAGGAGAATTGTTCCAGCGATGAAACATGGCAACTGAAGATTCCTGAACTTGTGTTTTTCACAACCACTTTCTATATCTCTAAGAACCAAAACATGAAGAAAAACAGAGAACAATTAACAAAGCAGAAGGCTCATAGAGAGAGGATAAAGTAATATAGAGTCTCAAGAATCACATAAATTACACAAACAAAAAAGAATTATGGAGAAGGAGCTTTCTCTCTTTACTACAACAGATCCATCCATAAAAGGAACCTAACATAAATATAAACACTGATACATCAGAAAAGAACCTTTAAGCCTGAGCTTTGCGTTCATTTCATTGTATGCCAGCGTGTGTTTTGGGAGACATGGAACAACCTCTTCACATTAAGAGTCTAATTCACAGCCACCCAAAAGACCTTGGTGAGAGTGAGGAGAGAAGAGAATGAGTGTGACGTGTGCAACATGTGTGAAACATTTTCAAGTAAAAACAAAAACAAACGACACTTTAACAATAAACCAAATATAAAATGAAAAAAGAATAAGGTAAGAAAATCAGCAACAGTTTAACAATAGAGGAAAAAGCGTCACTGTCCTAACGTGTGAGAACACATGGGGTTCCTATTCAAGTGCTTCCAGAAGCCTTTACTTATCTCTAATTACTTTGGAATGTCCTTCGTAAAATAATTGCTACTGTGGACAATAGATGACTTTGACTTGCCTATGTTACCTTTACATTTCATTATTCTTTACAAGTAATAGCTACAGGTTAAGATATCCTCATCTTCATATAATTTCATAGTTGTGTGTAGTCAGTCTAGTATGAACAATGAATCAAAAACAATAAATATAGGGATCAAATTGAAATATGATGATTGCTAGATATATCATGAATTTATATTTCTTTTATTTTCATCAATGCTTCATAATATCATATCTTTCATAAAATTTCTTTTTTCTTAGTGAACGTAAGCGGTTTTATTTAGGTCGATAATTTGTGATGAAATTTTCCTTAAATATGCAATTTGCGTATTTCTTGATGATATGGCCACGCTATTCTGCCACTATTTAGAGTAGAAAAGTTAGGTGAGATGGACTAAATATCGTGGCACTTCCACTTCCACTTTCAATCTCCATGTGCAAACGTTTTGAGAAAAATTCCAACTGGACCATAAAAAAATCTTCGCTTTTCGTTGGAATTTTCACCACAAAGTAGCATGTTGATGCAACCTCCATAAAGAAAAGGTCAATCTTTTTAACTCCTATGCTGAATGCTTTTGATTGCCCCTTTACTTTTTCGGATCGGGATCTTCTATTTTTTATTTTTTTTAAGCAAATATGATTCTCATGTGCTATTATTTTTATATTTTTGTTTAAGTAAAAAATAATTTATATAAATAAAAATAAAAAAAATACAAAATATGAAGATCATGTTACGGAAGAAGATTTTGATATTACTTTTTTATCTATTTTTCTGCATAATTCTAAAAAAAATAGCACGCATAGAATGTTCATGTTTCAATTATCCTGACATTAGACTTGTTTATTTTTTAATATTTTTTAAAAAAAAAATTTTTAAAATAATTTTTTTTTAAATATATATTTTAGAATTTTTTTGCTACATCTATCTACCATATAAATAAAATTTATTTTTTTAGTTAAATTTTATCTTTAATAAAGACAAAATTATGCAATTATATCCTATGACATCATCTCATGTACAAAACTTAAGATTTCATCAAACAAAAATAAAATTACGTAATTATGTCACGTATAAACAAATCAACAAATATTTAATCACATCAAAAATTTATGTGCAAATATTGTGTACCACTGTAAGTATTTAGGTGATAGTAAAATCAACTATGTCAACCTCAATGTAGCGAACAATTAAATTTATTAAACTAGTTAATTTAATCATAGCAATGAAATTTATTAGTTAAGAAAGTGGTGAACATTGACTAGTTTGTTTATTAGTTTAAGTAAACTAAAAAATAAAATAAAATATCTATTAAAATAAATAATTTAAATTAATTTAATTAAAAATTAAATTTAGTTTAAGTAAACAAAAAAATTAATAAAATTTATTAAACTACTTAATATAAATTAATTACCTGGTCTTGCAATTTTTTAGTCTTGCAACTTTATATAGATGTACTCATTATCATTATTATAATGGTTGAGATTTTCTAGCTCTATAATTTTTTTTTTTATGTTTTATCCTTTCAAATATGAAAAATAAGTCGCATAAAATGTTATTTTTATATTACAAATAAGCACATTAATAGTATAGCACAAGTTGTATTCACCATTAGCACAAGGCAACGCAAGTCGCTAAACCCAGTACAATTTATGTAAAATTTACAAAACGTCCAATTCATGTACAATTTAAGTTGAATTAAAACATTTAAAATTAAAAAAATACATTATTAAAGTTTTTTATTTTAAACAAAAAGCCAACTTTATTAAGTTTTAAATTTTCACTACAGGAAGTGTGAGATTGATTTCCGGCACTTTAATAAAAATAAAATTGTAATTTTTTTTTTTTTAATCTTTTGGGAAAACAAATAGTAGTTCATGAATATTCATATCCCCCTTGATAAGCACATTGAAGAGTTACCCAAGGCTCACCTCCTACTACATAGGTACATATTCCCATTCATTATTGCATTCTTATTTTGTTTATGGCTTAAACAAATGATTTAAAAAAAATAATTGTAAACTTGTTTAAATTCATAGTTTAATTATACATTTTTAAAATAACAATATTTTTTCTATTAAAATACATATTATATTTTAATATAATAAATATTTTTTTATAAAACTTATCACTTTTAAATACTTAAAATTATCTTTTAAGAATTAATGTTATATTTTTGTACATTAAATAATTACATTTTTACGATATTAATCAGAAATGATAATTTAAAAATCTAACACAGTTCAATAAATATTTTTTACTAAATATAATTATTATAGAAGTTTAATTTTGCTGTAAATTTTGTACCATTAGTGTCAAATTTTAACACTATTATTTGTTAAAAAAATAATTTTTATAATATGATAATTCCTAATTAGATGACTTCACAAAACATAATGAATATATTTAAATTAATTTGTTTTATAATTTTAACTAAAGTATTCTAATATAATATTTGTTTGAGTAACTTTAGTATCATATTTAGAACTAATACTACCGCTACTAGCATGCGTGAAAAAAGTTTAGAAGTAAAATTTATTGAAGATTGACACATAACTAGGTTTAGGCATAGGCAAAGTGGAGGCCATTAAACCCATGAACCTAGTCTACCATCCTCAAGCCACTATAGGACATGGATTGCCTATAGTTTCATCCTCAAGCCATTATATGACTTGGATCGCTTGCAGTTTTGGTAAAAACTGTAGGTTACATTTTCTCCCACTTAGCAAAAAGTGATTTTGGCTTAGCAAAAGAGATTTGCTTAAGCCAATTTTGCTTAAGACAGATAAAATTGTTTAAGCGAAAGTAAAAATACACTGCAACATCTTTTTTTTCTGCTTATTTTCGCTTAAGTGAATATTTGTTTAAGCAAAAATACGCATAAAGCAAATGTTTCTTTCTCTTTCATTATTCTGACTCCTTCTCTTCCCCTCTCTTTGACTTACCCATTTTGTAACGTCCCAAATTTTGTGATATTAATTATTGTTATTTATATAAATCTAAATGTATATATATATATATATATATATATATATATATATATATATATACACGTGTGTTGATTTACTTGATAATGATGCTTATATGTATTAAGTATATGGATGTGTATATTGTATGTATGCATGACTGGATAGGGCTGAATGAGCTAAGTGTCTAAGTGCAGGGCGTAATACTGGGTTGTTCTTCGCTGCAGTGAGAGGATTCTCACTGCAGCGAGAGGGCCTTGGGAGGAAGGACCAAAACTGTCGCCTTCTCGTTGTAGCGACAGAGCGATAGTTTGGGGTGCATTCCTGAGTGCCGTCTCGCTGTAGCAAGATTATGCAGAAACCAGGGTGTAATTTTATCTGAGATTTTCGCTGCAGCGTGAGAGCGTGTCACTGCAGTGAGGGGATCTCGCTGCAACGAGAATATCTCGCTGTAGCGAGAATGTCGCGAACAGGAAAAGATTTGAAGGAAGTTAGGGTTTGGGAAGGGTTATTTGTCCCTCCCCTTCGAATTTCCTTCAATCCTCTCATTCCCAAACCCTTTTCTACCGATTATATTGCCTTCAAAGTCGTTCGAAAGCTTGATTAAAGGTTAAATCCGTGTGAGGAACGCTTGGAGGTGAGTTTTAATAGTTAAAGTTTCGTTTCTCATCTCCTTTTCTCTATTTTTTGGGTTTCCTTGGGTTCTCATGGAATTCTTTCATGTGTTTTAGGCCACAATCTGTGTAGGAAGCACGTTCGTGATCGAATCCTAGTATGGGTCTTCAATCCAAAGTAAGGGGGACTCTATCCTACTCTTTTGTGCATAAATTGTTGATATTTTGCTGAATACTTTGTTGTGGCTGAGTTAGTAGGTAGAAAATTACTGAGAAATGTAATGTGGGCCATGTGCTGTGATATGTGAACATTATGTGTGTTGATCCAAAATTGATGGATATGGATTGTATGTAAATGTTGTGTGATAGAATGAGTATGGACACTTGTGCTGTATATTTTGAATGAATATTGTGAAATTATGGGCCCAAGGGCCGTATAATATGAACGATAATTATAGGCTGCATGTCGTGTGCTGTGAATTGAATATAGGTTGTGTGCCGTGTGTAAGCATGAATATTGCGTGCTTGAATGAAATGTATGTGAATGGGACGTGTAGCACCGTTGTAATGTGCTGTGTATGGTTCAGCGATACACTGAGGGTGTGGAAGATGAAGACGGTAGAAATACCTTGGGGAGGAGAAAGTAGTGGTAACACCGATTATGGAATAGGTACACCACGGGCTACACACTCTCTTCCTGACTAAACCTCTGACCACTATCTTTGTTGAGTGACCCATGACTATCCGCGTGGTATCCGTGAGACGGGGATAACCGGCGACCATTCATGGTATAAATCTGTGATCACAATGCCACAAGTGTGACTAGCGTGCATATGCATGAGTTTGTGTATTGTACTTATAGATGTGAAATGCTACTAATGCCATGAGTGCATCGGTGTTAAATTGATATGAGCTGTGTGATAATGCTGCCTGTGGAAGTGTAGAGTACTCACCCTTATATTCATTTTCAGGTAATCAAGACAATCAGCACCAGACTCAGTGAAGAGATGAATGAAACTGCTATAGAACTTAAAATATTATTTTGAAAAATTGTTATATTTGAATAAGTCTTGTAACAACTATTTGATATAATTTGTAACCTCTTTCTCTATTTAAAATGGTGGATGAAACTTGAATTAAAAATAAAAATTTTATTATTTCAAAAATTTATAAAATTTCTTATTTATTGAAATTAAATTTAAGGTGTTACACATTCAGCCCCTCCTCCTCTCCTATCTTTCCTTCCTTCCCACTCAAATCCTCCTCCTCTCCTCACCTAACAGTTCTCAATTCTTCCCCTCTTTCACCCAACACCTCCTATCTCCTTCCAATCTAATCACCCTTTTTCTTCCTCCGTCTCACTAGTTCCTTTCTTTCCTCTCCTTTCTCATTTCTTCTTCCTTCAACCCCACCCAGTCTCCTTTCCCCTCTCTTTTCATCTAGCTCTCCTCCTCTCCCTTTCCCCCACTCATCCCTTCCCCTTGTCTCCTCATCCAGTCTTTTTCCCTTCTCCCTATTAGCCTTCTCCTACTCTCCCTCTCTCTTGTGCTCTTGTCAAATCTCTTTATGAGCTCCCTTTCTCTTTTCTTCTTTTAATTTTTTTGTCATTCTTTTTAAATCCGCTTAAACGAATTTTTCTGATTTAAACAAAATTGGCTTAAGCGAATTTTTTATTTAAGCTAAAATCACTTTTTGCCAAAAATCACTTAAGCGAGAGCAGAAAATTGCAGCCTGTAATTCTTGCCAAAACTACAGGCGATCCGAGTCCACCACTATCAAAACAGCTATCTTCGCTGCTTGCAAAATATTTGGATACCACCCTACTTTTAAGGAAAATGGACCTTCTAGCTTGAATTTAAAAAAAAAAATTAATAAACCACACAATTATGGAACAAAAAGAATAAAACAGAATTAGCAAAAAAAAAACACAAAGAGAATAAAACAGACCACACACAATCGTCCATAACTTTATTCATTAATTTCTCTTAGTATTCCTTGAAGAGAAAAAAAAAGGGGAGGGGGGGTTCACAAAAAAAAAGAACAGGAAAGCAAAAGCAAAAGCAAAAATTTTATTTCTATATTAAGAGGCTATATATTATTTATAAAATTCAAAAAAAGAAATATTTTATTATTAAAAATATTAAAAATCAATAACATATATTATTATTCTTATTTCTACCTCTCACTTGTTTTTTATATAATTTATATGAATACCATCCTATAAATACATATGAAATATATATATATATATACCCAAAGACGTTACTTTTAGTATAATACAAGAAATATTCCTAAAAAACAATTAACAAATTAAATTTATACCAATTTATTACTTTGTTAAAAAATTATTAAAAAGTATTTATTAAAAAAAAAATTCCCTCCCCTCAGTTCTCTACAACCACAGTCCAAAACCTAATTCTTCAAGAATGAAGAATGGTTTCTTAACTTTTTTTACTGTCAACTTTCTTAACTAATATGACATGAGTAGGCGGATCCAGGTGGACTTGAACCACCAACCTCCCATATGCAGCAGCAGTTGGGCGCTCATTCCAATTTGAGCTTGTGGATCCATCATAATCTTGAATTTGCTATATTCAGACATTAAACCCATAATACGAGACTCACTACACTCATGTGAAAACCCCAACCTTTTCTTACCATTAAATGAATTTGTTATATTTAATCATTAAAGCCAGAATACGAAACCAAATAGTAATACACTCCTAAGAGCATATTTCTTTTTATTTGTGAGCTCATTTTTAAAATTTAAGTGATCAAATCCATATTACTACGCAACTAAAGAACGGATTTATGCTTCCATGAAATAATGCACAGAACTGGCATTGAAACGCTATTTTAAAAAAACTAAGTTAATGCTACCCTTTCGGCCCAGAAAGCAGAATCGGAGACACTCTAATCCTCCCACTGGCTATAAATAAGAACTATATCCCGAGGCCGAAACAGAAATATTCGATCCATGTTTAACTCATCGCAAAATCTGATAAGTATGTCACCGAAAATTATATCCAACCAAAATTGAGAACAATAAAATCTGCGCCAACATAATAGAATAAATGTTCGAAAACAAACTAGAAATTAGCAGCTGAATTATAGATGAGATCACTAAGTGTCTGTGCGCCTGCATGCATTAGTCAAATGGAAACAAAAATTCCCCAGCCAAAATATTTACAAAGACACACTTTGGGAAACTGTTGGGAAAATGTTTCAACATTATCAAAATTAAAATAACGGGTGGAAAACAAACCAGAGGGATAAACTGAGTTCTGAACTACAGAACAATGTCACCCAATAATAACGACCAAGGTTATGAAAGCGTCCACCGATGCAGGGAGTGTGTCATTGCATACCGAAAGACACAGACCGTATACACAGGTATTACAGGAGATAATACAACCGTTTAATGTTGAGGGAGAAGACAGTCAAATCTCCTGATAATTCAACACAACCTCCAGCCCTGCATTATCAAAATCTCCCTCAGATGAGTGAGGATTAACATAAGCCTACAAACACAGAATGAATTGCATCAGGAGCAATGCAACTCCAAAATTTCAATCACCAATAGTGAAGAGCCAACTCAATGTAAATAATATACAGTACCTCCAACTAAACATCAAACATTGAAGCAATAAATACAACATTACACACTAAATTTTTCAATTGCGTGCAGGGAAAAAATAAAAGATAAGAAAACCACCAAAGTTGCACATGAAGAAAGCAATTATACTAGACAACAACATATAAATTGGAGTTCAAAAATTCATATGCTAACATCATCTCAATCTAAATTGCACAATCCCAAAAAAAGAGCATAAAAACTCAAAACCAACTGTGGTGAGCTGCTTCGGAACTCCTGAAAGAGCAAAAAGTAAATAGAACAATATAAGTCTATCCATTGCTATGAACAGCAAGAATCCTCCGGGCTCAAAACAAATTACCTCCAGCAAAGTCTGAAAAGTTTCTTGCTTCACACAACAGAATGACAGCAGCTATTTTTATCCACTAGCATGAATCAGACACATGGAAATTTGGGTGTCTACTCAAGAAAGATGTACTGCAATTGCACAATGCTTGAAAACGGTCAAAGCTGATGATGATCCACAGTCGAAGACTGCACATATACATACAAGGAACCTTGACCCTACAGTAGGTTCTTTTGTTTACAGCCATCTGTAATCCCTGCCTCGTAATCTAGCCATAGGGGTTTTTCAAAACATATAATTCGAACTCCCAAGTATCCCAAGAACAGGAGTACAAGTGCAAATAATAGCTCCATGATACAGTGGCAAGAAGACATCAATCAACCCAAAATGTTATCATACCCTTGTAATTCCACATGGAGACAGTGACTATAGTTGTAACATGGAAAAAATGTAAGTATCCAAGATGCACACCAACATATACATATAACTACTGAATAAATGAAAATAAAACTTTGAAACTAAAGATATTGAAACATGAGACTAGATGTTGCATTTGCAAAGTTTTTATTGTAAATTACCCATCAAAGGACAATAGATAGATAAAATTTTTAAGTAATCCAAAGCCATAGAGTCAACAGAACTAGTTGAGATAAATATATCGTTCGTAAAAATTATTAATATGCCTGATATTTAATTAATCCAAATTTTTGTGAGGCGCAAGATAGATCGCTCTCTTCTGTAAGAGATTGTGTACTGACTACTGATACAATTTTAAATGGTTGTCATAGTCATTTAACTGTAAAAGACTTTCAATTCAATCTAATCATGAAAATATAAGATCACGTGTAACAGTCATAGATATGTGAAATAAATCATGTATAAGTATAGTAATTGCAGCGAAAGCATGAAAATATCCAATAGCTTAGTTTTTATATTGATTGCCTTCAATTTCAAAGCGAAATCATAAAACCGCATTACGAATTCAGGACATGCGAGGTATAACGGCAAATATAAATTGTAAAACTACATACAGCAATTCATAAATAACTCAATTAAAATCAACGAAAGTATGCGTTCAGCACCATGTACCTTGCCCAGTTGCCAATCATTTGTCATTCGGGTTGAGTTGAGTTCCAAAACTATAACCGATTTTAAATCATATGGCTGCTATGCGTGGCGCGTTATAGAATATATAAATTCACAGTGCAGAAAAGAGAAAAAGGAAGAAAATAGAAAAGGGAAAGGGGAAAACGCGATACAAAAGGGGGAGAGAGCCGGGGCAAACAGGGAAAATTGAAAAAAACCCCGAAACCATCCCTCCCCCAAACAAAAACAACAATAATTTTATTAAATCTTTCGGACCTGCCATGCAAGCGCACCTGACATGGCAAAGGTCATTTAACAAGGAAGAGATTGAACAAACAATAGCACAAGCACCGTGTGTGTACCCCACACACACCTCTCTCGCAACCATAACCTCCAATCGAAACAATCAGATCCAAAAACGACACAAAATGTAGTCCCTCTTAAAGGATCATACCAATACAACCCAAATTAAAAGACATATCACATGTTAATTACTGCGTTTCGATTTCAACACGGGACCGCGTAGAAAACCACGACCATCCGCGGCGCTACCAGTACCTATATCAACATAATAACCACTACCGATTAAATGAAATCCAAATAAGATTAACTATAAATAATCGGAAAATCGGACATCTAATTTACCTTATGAGATTCACGATGAGCCAAACTCGGTGGCCTCCTACGAGATCGACTCAACTACATCGAGATCGAAACATCGACGAAACCTGCAGTTAACCATCCCTAAAAAGGATCAAGGTTCGATCCGCCATGTAACAATCGAAACATCGCCGTTGACCGAGAGGAAGAAACGGTTAGGGGCAGAGAGAAAGCGTCGAGTACGATTTACGCGGCAACGGTAGCACGGATACGGATGATGCGGGGTGGTCATTTTATATAGAGGAATCTGGATAATCAACGGCTGTGATTTATCAACAATAAATAGATCCAACGGTGTATATTGGCTGATTTAGTTGTGCCAAAACAAATGTCGAATCGGCGTGCGTTGTTGGGCAAGGTATTCGCGGTCGCAAAGCAAAGAAGGTTCTGGATGAGCAGTAGATATTTTCGCCTAACATGAGTTTGTTTTATGTTTAGTTCAAAAATATCTTCAATGGTATAGGCCCAACTCCAGAGCCCAAGGACATTTAATATGTAAAAGACTTTTGATTTGATTTGATTTTTAAAATAAAAATTAAACATACTCTTAATATTTTATTTAATATTTATTTTCATCTTTATTCTACGTGAGAATGTGAATTTGTGCTATTATAGCAAAAAATAAAAGATAGATTTCTGGTATTAAAATTTTTATACAATCTAATTTCTTCTATTATTTTATTTACTTTTAACCTTTCAAAATTTTATTTATTATTTTCTATTTATATTTTTGAATTTTGAATTTTTATTTTAATATATTTTTATTTATTATTTTAGAATAAGGACTCAAATAAAATTCATTATTCACAATTTATTTTTTATAAATCTCTATCAACTCTTTCATCATTTTTTTCTCAATAACCCTTCCATCAGTTTTAACCTATTATCATTTTGTCCACTCATCTGACCTTCAAAAAAAAATTATCCATTATCTTTAATTTTAAAATTTGTTTGTTAGTTTTTTCTACTATCATGTTCACTTTAAAACTTCCAAAAAAATATATCTACTATCATTAATTTATAAATTATTTAATTTTAAAATATTAAAATTTATTTCATTATTATTATTTTTATTTATTATTTTATAACAAATACTTAAATAAAAATCGTTATTTGTAAAAAAAATATTTAAGATATAATTATACCAATATTAAACTTGCACATTTATGTTACTTAATAATTTTTTATAAAATATAATATTAATTAATCTAATCATTTATTTGACACTTCTTACAAGTATATCAACTTTATAAAAATTATTAAATATTTCATTACATCACTTCATTTTAACACACAATGTATTTTAAAATATAAATAAATATCAAATTGTAGATAACATACTTACAAACATTTATATTACAATAAATTCAATATGCACCATAATATAAAATTCAACAAATTGGTTAATAAATTTTACATCCTATAAAAATTTTTAAATTGTTAATTATATAAATTTGTACCAACAGATTTTGAATATATATATATATATATATATAACTAAAAATAATATATACTCTTCTTATATTCCTTTTTTATTATTATTCCTCTTGTTTGAAATTTTTCATTTACATATTGTTTATTATTTTATTTTTTTTAGAGGTTTTTTTAATTTGTTAATATATTTTGAAAATTCAGTTTTAAAAATTAAAATTTAAAAGTAATTTGAGTATGAATTTTAAATTTCAAAAGATATAAAATCAATTACAAACTTTAATATTCACAATTAATTCACCAAAAAATTTTAAAATTTAATTTTTAAAATATATATTCAGAAATTGAATTTCAGACAATTCCAAAGGAAAAAAAAAGGTGTAACTAATAAAAGCAAGTGGTGCAAAAACCGAACTCCCTCGCATGTTTGTTTAGGCCCACGGTCTGTCTTCCATTCGTTGGGCTTTAAACGACTTTTGCGTCCATATAGAAATGAGTATATGACTTGGAAAGTATCCAAAAAGTAAAAGAGATGATAAAACTGGACTGGCCCCAAAAAAACTGAATGTGGGTAGAGGCAATTACCTTCAACTGTTGTTTATAGTTTCCTTCTCCGTTAAAAAGTAAATGGTTCCTTACTTCTCCATTGGTAGGAACGGAATATTTTTATGTTATTTATTTTGCTTTTTAAACTCATAATGTTTCAATTTTTCTCACCTTAAACAACCATCACAACCCCCTTCTTGCCAAATGTCTTCTAAACTTTATCTTAAACCGCTATTAACAAGCCAACGACCAAGGAAAATAGAGTTAGATCTGTCCATAATCACGAAGAAAATTTCAATTAATTGAGGAGGAAATCCTTTTGATGAGTTTGTATTTCAAAGAATGAATTGAAGATGAACTTAGCTTTGGATTTGATTGAAGGGTTCTTAACATGAAGATTGTTTATGTCCAAGGATTTGATCACTTTTGTGATTTATTTTTATTCTCAGTTTTTTAAATTGTGATTTTTTGCAATTGTTTATCATTACGTATATATTTTGGAAATTTTGTTATAAAAGGTAATCACTAAACATCCATTTAGCAAATAATTTTTGAAGTTTAAGTATTACGATGAGATTATTTTTCCAGTAAGGTAATATTATTGTGTATTTTAAGTAAAACTTAAAATGTAACCAAAGCCCATAGCTTACATGACAAAGTATTCACTTTGTCAATTAAACGACGAAAATTATCTCATATAAATTTTTTATTATCTCAAATAGAGATAATTTTATAAATTTTAATATCTCAAATAGAGATAATTTATAAAAATTTATAAATTTTTATTATCTCAAATAGAGATAATTTATAAATTTTTTATTACATGACAAACTATTTTGATATAATAGTTTATTTAACAAAATTATTTGATTAAAATTAAAGATTTATTATTGTAATAAAGATTATAAAAATAAGAATTATGTCTCTTATAAATTAATTTAAATTATTTTTTATCATATAACTATTATAAATAGAATATTAATAACATGGATAGATCAACATATATGTGATAATATTTATTAAGTGAATATTAATATATTTTATTTATTAATTTATATGTATAGACATAAATGTGATTATTGAACTGATTTAAACAGAGATAATATTATCTTATATTATTAATAAAAAAATTAAAATTGTCAATAAGTCATTTATTATATTTTAATTTTGAACCCCTACTATATTAGATACTTGTAGTATTAATAATAATTCAAGAAAGAATCCATAAAACTTTATGTAATAAGTTTAAGTTCGGTTAAAATTAAGATTTGGCCAAATAATTAAATGAAAGAATAAATGAATTTTTTTAAGTCATTCATGATAAATTAATTTGTTAGAATATAAATACCAAGTTAATTTCATACTCTAAAGTTAATAAAGATGAAAGAAAATGTTATATTATTTTCTAATAATGCTTAGAAATAAAATTATATTACTTCATGTTATCTGAATGTTAAAAAGCATTGCTATATGCCAAATAAATTAATGATCATTAATTTATTACATTATTAAACTTACATAATTACATATTAACAAGAGTTTTAATTTTCGTGAAAAAATAATTTTCTTATTTAATAATTAAAATTATAGAATTTATTTTAAAATAAATTATTATTATATTGTTTATTAGCACCAAAAATATTATAATAAAATAGTGACAGAATATGACAATCAACTAAATTTATTTCAAACGTTGAAACTGCATCTATCGAAAACTGACTTGATAAGAGAAAAAATAATAATTGTTTCACAGGGTTGACGGATTAGCCTCAGATACACACATTACCTTCTTATTTTTGAAGAAAAATTTTAAACTTTCAAGATTTTTGATAATTTTCTCACTCAGATTTCATTGTTATTATATTACAAGCTTGCATAATTTAAACACAAATAAAATTTAATATTTCGTACATTTTGGTTTAGAACGTATTTTACTATCAACCTTCTCTTCTTTTACTATCAAATAAAATGACCACATTTAGGATAAAGAGATGAATTCACTTTTAAGAATTATTAAATCATATATTATTACAGTATATTACATAAATTCTTTAAAATGAAAAAAAAAATCCATACAATCGAACAAAATATCTCTCATTTTGTTCTCATATATATTATTCTTTTTTATTTCACAGTAATCTTGTTATATTGCTTCTTTTGAAGTCCTCATCGAGTACCATCCCCAAAAATAACGTTTTCATTCAATCTATATCACTTCAAAGAAAATAAATATAATTGTATTAAATACTCACAAAAGATTACTTCCAATAAAAAATAATTGTGGTTACAAATTATTATAATAATTCATTCTATAAGAATATACTTAACTTAAACACCAATTTTGTCCAAATGTCTATTTAGAAATAAGATTTTTGAGAGAAGAAAAAATATATTTTCTTATATTTAAAATAATAGTGTTATATAATATTTATAAAAAATAACATAATAAAAAATGTAATTTATGTTAATTTATTGTTTTAATTTAAAAATTATTAAATTAAAAAATATTTGTACATGTAAAAATTTTACTTTCTTCCATTTCTCTCCCCACACATATTTTAAAACGACAAATATCTTAAAAATATTGATAATTCACCATACAATAGTATCAGTGAGACTTGACTTGAATGCTCTTGCCTTTCATTACAGCAAAATTACAAACCGGTTGTCTCATTTTTTAAAATATTTTTTTTAATTATATTTATTATTCCATTTTATTTTATTTCTTCTTTTCTTTTAAATTTATACAGAAAAGAGTTTATTTAATATATTTTGTATAAATATTTAAAAACACGAAACAGAATAAGAACATAAAACATTTCTTGAACCAAACAGCTCCTAAACCTTTTTGAAAAATTAACTTTATTACTTGAAGATTGGTCATAAAGCAAACAAAACATAAAGTATCTCTCCCCATGTGTTTTGTTGTCCAAAATTAAATGGTATGAAGTTCTCTCTCTCAAGGGAAAAAAACATATTAGGAAGAATATTAATTCCTAACAAAGAAGATACACAATCAAACGATATTTGAAATGATATTTGTTCTGACGATATAGTCACAGGTTGCCATAACTATAACCAAAGCAATTATTTATAAACTGGATTTATGAAACAAGGATTAGCAATTGAAGAATCAAGTAAAGGGGGTGTTTTTATATGCACGTATAAATAAATTGTAATCCATTATAAAAACATATAAGAAAGGATAGTGATTAAATTTTAAG